TCAGCTGTCCTGGCTGTGTCCCCTCCCAGCTTCTTGTGCACCTCCAGCCTACTCGCTGGTGGGGTGGGGTGAGAAGCAGAAAAGGCCTTGACTCTGTGTAAGCACTGCTCAGCAGTAACGAAAACATCCCTGTGTTATCAACACTGTTTCCAGCACAAATCCAAAACACAGCCCCATGCTAGCTACTGTGAAGAAAACTAACTCTACCCCAGCCAAAACCAGCACATATCCGCATGAAGAAACAGAATTATAAGGACATAGAGGTTGGACATAAACTGGAGGAAAATGAGGACAACAGTTGTTAGAGTAATAGGGATGAGGTTCAGGACATTAATTGCAAAACTCCCTTCAGTTTCAATGGGGCTGCATCACGCTTTAAACTTAAAAAGTGGAACAGGAAGGTGAGGAAGAGGTACTAGATTAAATGTTTGAAGTTAAATAAAAAGCAGTTCTTGATCTCAGATGAATATGACCATTTGTAAGTACTATCAGTTCAGAAACTTTGCTTTCGAGTAGTGATTGTACATTTATTGACACATGAAAGGGGCTGTAAACACATCTCTTCCATAGCCTAGCTTGAGTTTATTACAGAACATGCAAATATTTTCTGCTTTAACAGGTGTGTTGTGTGGAAGATTTTTAAGAATAAAATAAACACAATTTTACTATAACCTTTAAGATGTTCAAATACTTAAGGTAATCATCTCAATAGCTATTAACTTGGAAAACAGAAGCATCTGGAAGCTTCTGGGTCAAGGGGAGGAGCTGCATGGCTGCTGCACTGTTATGTACCACGCTGTTACTCTGATAGAAAATTGGGCATTACTGTACTTAATCCACTTCCCTGATGAACCAGTGCTTTACAGTGTACAAACTGAAGATCCATCCATTCTCGTTTCTCTTTTAGAAACTGGAGCTGTGGTTAACAGGGAATAATGGTAACATACTGAATACAGTAATATCTCTAAGGCCTTGCCCATTCAGAGCCTTGGTTTTGACATTCTCAGCTCAAAAGTGGAAGGAATTTCCCTTTTATTTCACCAGTGCAAGATCAAGTTCTAGGTTTATAGCCTATCATGTTAGTTAATTTTAATTTGTAAATGGCAAGCATATTAAGCCTTTAATTATTTGAAAAGTCAATCCATATGTCAGATGGTTTTAGTAAGGAACTTATTTTGCCCTTGTTCTAACTTACTGCTAAGATTGACTACTTAGTTTTGTTGTGTTTTATAAACTGTATTAAAGAGCTGATGTTAGATTAAAAGTATGATGTATGCTGATATGTTAATTTGCTTTGCTTGCAAGTGTGGGAGGGAAATATGTTATAGTAAGGAAACCCTATTGTTTTGCAGTCTTTGAGTATGTAAATGTTTTATAATAATATGTTACAGTTCCATAATGTCTGTGTGTTTCACAAGCTTATTAGATGGTACCAGTCTCATCAGACACAAACATACATTTAAATCTATGAGTAGGACCTTCAGGATCAAGCCCTATATATAGGAATTACATGGCCACTGCTGATGGGAAGTGAGTAAAGAAATGTGAGTACCCCTGAACTGAGCTCAGCAATATGGAATGACAGGAAAGGAGGAAACTCTTCAACAGGAATAGTAGTAAGTTAGGTGGCCAAGTCTGCAGAGCTATTACCTTCTTTCTTGTAAAAAGGGCTCCACAGTGAACAAAAATAGAACCCGAGTGTTAGGTCACATCTGAAATATAGCACCTTTAGCAGCACTGATTCTGGTGATAAGAAAACCCTGGCAAGCATCTCTGTTGCATTAATAAAAGACATTCTTTGAGATGACAGCGTTCATCAAAGCATTTTAACTCTTGCATAGGATATTACCTGGTTCTAGACCCAAAGAAAATACTGCTGCCAATTGAGTCAATGCCATATATTGTATCATTCAGTTAATCTCCAGTGGTGTCTCTTTGAAATAATGACCCATCTTAATTAGATATTAGAATCTACTCATAACCAACTGAATTGTAGCTAAGGCATTTTTCTTAGCATTTATACATACAGTCATGGGAAAGATGCTGAATAGGGAAAAGTGATTATTAGGTAGATTTAGAAATAGAGGACATTTTCCTATGTGAAGGGTGTTTAATTATTGTATAATGTAGAATCCAATTATTTAAGAGGCTGCTGCTTTTCCTATGGTGTGTTACAATAGTGAAAAACATATCTGTAGTGGTCATTGCCTTT